GTAATTTTTTTTTTTTTTTGAATAATGCTAATTACCCCCAACCCCATTTTAAAAATGACGTGAGAGTAAATGATTTATTTAATTTCGCCTTTCATTCAGCCTATCATCTAACTTCACTTAGACTGAGGTTACAATTCCAGTAATGCTACACAGCATTACCCTTTGTTTGTTGTTTGCTTATTTTCATCAAATGACTTTTAAAATAGGAGATAAGTGGAAATCATTGTTGATAATGCAATTTTTTGTTTTTGTTTTTTTTTTTTTTTTTTTTTTTTGGTATTATTATAAAATAAGTCCCGAGTCGGTGAGTCACACGGGTCGGCTGGAGCTAAGCTCGGAACCTCAAAAAGGGGCTCGATCTGAGCTCGGGTTTTTTTCGGGCCGAGCAACAGGCGGCGCGAGTTGGGGAGCCCAACTGACATCCCTAGCCCTCATGAAGAATGAATTAAATCACGAGAGGCAAAAATGTCTTTTTGCCTTAAAAGTGGTCCAAAATTGCGGCTGTCCTACATAGATAAAGGTCAGATTATGGCTTCAACTTTGTCTAAAATCACTCCCAAGCAAGCAAGGGCTAGATTATGAGTTAATGTATTACGGGTGCATTTGACATGTCTTTTTCTAAAAATCATTTTTAGACTAGTTTAGTTAAGCTTATAAAAGTGTTTCTCGTTAGAAGAATTTTAAAAGCTGTTCTAAAATTAAGGTATTATTTTCAAGAACAATTCTACAAAAAGCAACAGTGAAAGTCTTGTCCAAAGGATCCAAGAAGCAAATATGAAGCATTACCTAGAACATTAATCAAATATGAAGCCACTTTATTGTAATATTTAAACTCATTCTTATATCTAGAATTTGTTGAATAAGTTAAATGTCTAAGATCTTAAAGTGAGAAGTGGCTTTTGTTTTTATGTTTTTAACACGTCTTTATACTTTTTGTCAAGCTATCTACTTTCTCAAGCAAAAAATAAATAAGCCCTTTGTACACGGACCCATCTCGCCCCCTCACATGGGGCGAGGTCCCACATCGGGGCCCACGTCTGGGTCCAGCTCCTGATGTGGGGGGCGGGTGGGACCCACGATCCAGCAAAAAATTAAGAGCAATGTTAGGAAAACAGGGCCCTGTTTTTCAGGGGGACACGTGTGCCCTATTGGATGGTTGCCTGATCCAGAATTATTCAAAAATTAAATGGACACGCAAGTAAATAACTTTAAGGTAAGAACCAAAATAAAGAAAAGGAGGGTAGATTGAAAAAGACAACTACTTCCAGAAGTCAATTAATTTTTTAATGTAATATGAAAAAGATAAGATTAGAGTTGGCAAACTAACCATAAAATTTCATGACGAATTCATAAACAAAGATATACATAAACAAAACACATATCAGCAGTGGAAACAATAGCTACTGGCTTAGCTCCCGTTTGATTTCCATTATTTGTCCATTAAAATAAAAAATATGACCGTTATCCATCACATTAAGTCACCATGTTTGACTTTCTATCTCTTGTATGGGACCCGTAACGACTATATTTTTCATTTTCATTTTTACATTAATGTGTACCAAACGGGGTAATTATTGTTGTTATTTAACATTGGCTTCATTTACCTATCCATCTGAACCCGACACCCCACAAATATTTTCAATGAGTTTGATCGCTAAAGGATATCTTGTGAGTTCTGAATAATAAAGAAGAATAGTTCGATGGATTATTTCGGAGTGACTTTTTAAAAATTATTATTATTTTTTTCAAAATTATTTTAAACCATACATTTTATGATAGTCATAATTTTTTCCTACTTTTTAGTATATGTTCTTCAAAGAATCGTTTTTCACTTGAAAAAAATCTCTCCCACACAAACGCTGAACAAGTGTCGACAAATGTTTCTCTTGTATGGTTTCTTGATCATGAAGATTTTGAAAGAATATAATTTTCTCATGTAATGTCACATATGTTCTCTTGAAGCATATTATTAATAAGTTAGCATGCAATCAATCTATAAGAGTCAATAAATGGTTTCATTATTAGAGATTTTACCTAATGACTGTGAAACTCTATTTAATCTACTAATGTAAAATCTTGTATTGTGATTATTAATTAAGGAAAGTCGACATGAACTGCTACAATAGTTAACCTTTTTTTTTTTTTTTTTTTGCCTTCTGTCTGGATATAAAACTCAAATATCATGTTCGCAACTGAATTGATCATTTAAGCATGATGGCTATTCAAAAGCGTGCAACAGAAGGAAAAAAGTGTGTTTCTAAATACAATTTTATGAAAGAAAAGGAAAAAAAAAAAAGAAAAAAGAAAAAAAAGAAATTTTATTTTAATAAAAAAATTAAAAATGATCGTAACATTATTTTAAAACGACACTAATAGGTGAATTAAAAGATAATGGTTAAAAACATTGTTTGTCACTAAACTTATAGCAAAGTTCACCTAGGTCATTTACCTTTATTTATTATTATTATTTATTATTTTATTCTTCTATGTGAAGCACTTAAATATATTGAGAAAGTGTGAACACAATTTCTTATTGGCTAGAAGTTACTTAAATAATGAGTTTATAAGGAAATGAAGATAAGGAACCCCGATTCTCTACGTAATACAACTGAACATTTACAATAATAATTACATTGCATTTTCTCTCGATCAATTGACTTACATTGTCAATAATTTCCTTTTGACTACTTCTAAAGTGCAAATAAAATAGTTTACATTATTTGCCCCCAGGGCACATCTCCAAGTGGTAAAAGGGGAGGGTGGAGAAATCCAACTTTACTTGAGGTTGCTGCGTCAAGAGTTCGAATCCTGAAATATGGATTTGACTCTTGGGTAAGTACAAGTGTACAAGCAGCCTTCCACCCTGTACCCTTGGAGGCATAACCTGCGATTTACTTCCCTCACGATGCTCCAGGACAGAGGCGGTGGGAGACCCTTAAGGTTGGGTTCAACCTTTTTTATAAAATAGTTTACATTATAAATAGATGTCTTGTACAATTAGAACCCGTTTGGTGCACATTATTTGGGAAAATAATACATTTTTTCTATCAAATCAGCCTACAATTTTTGACTTCAACACTCTAAGGTAGGGCCCATGATGTGATGTTTAAAATGCATTTTTGATGAAAAATGTGCACCAAATGGGCTCTTAATTTTATTCCTGTACATGATGTGGATTAAAATTAATAGCAATTTAATAGAGATGTAGTTAGGTATCACCATGCTTAATATATCGTTGCCATTTTGGACTTTTTCCGTGCTACATATATTTTTTACTTAAACACAACAGAACTTTTCTAAGGGTGAGAACGAAAGGTTAACAGCTTAATTTGACGTATAAAATATTCAAATCCCTGCACATGGTTTGAACTGAAATAGTATATACTGTATTGTCTTCAGAATCTCTGACTTTCAATACATCACTTGAGTTTGGCGCAACTTAACATCATAATATGTATGAAAATAGGATAGTATAAATGAAGATGTGTAATATATTATATATAACAGCTATTAATGTATCAAATGGTTAATATTATTTCTCGTTTTAAAGACTTCATGAAGTTTGTCGTACTCGATTGCAAGGCCAGATAGAGAAAAAGGCCATTTTCATGTAGATAAAATGGATAGACAGTGATAACTATTGATGAACGACGATTTCTTCTTGAAATTGTTACACGTTAAAGATTCAGAAAATGGAAACTATCTTTATTGACTAACAACAGAGAAAAGTCGACAGACTAATTCTAATGAATTTGTGAACAACTTTCATTAGCTAGCCAACTAATGAAATTATCAATAATTTCCGTAATTTAATCCGTCATTAAATCACGCATCAACATATGAGATAAGATACACCATGCTATCCAGTTTGTGGACAGTGCAATGGGAGTTCTGTTATAGTTACTCATCTGCATTTGCATTTTATTTTGCAGGTAAAAAAATTTCCTCAGAGTACTGAAAATGACAGATTAACCACTTCAAAATTAATTCAAACCATAGACTATCATTTCAGAGTTGTTACTAGTTAATCAGGACTTGATCAACCACTGAATATTTTACAGTTTTAGTTCTTTGAAACAACCTGCTATTGAATATACATAGTTAATTATGTTTTGAAGACTTGGTAAGATTACTTGCCTGAAAAGATTAGTTGATGACTAATTCAAACAGAATGCTACGCTATAAATAGGCAA